GAGAGCGCTGCTGCTGCTGGGGTCCCCGCTGCACTGCTCCGCCTCTGCCAGCTCCACCTCCGCCGCCGCCGCCTCCGCCGCCTCCACCCCTCCCGCCACCGCCACCGCCGCCTCCATTCCACCGCTGCCTCCAAAGCCCCCACCTCTGCCACCACCCCCACCCCCACCCCCTCCTCCGCCTCCACCGCCACCACCGCCGCCCCCACCACCTCCTCCAGCTCCCTTGCCCCGCTTGCCCTTGCTGATGCGGCGCCTCTCACTAGGAGCAGACGCAGCGCTGACCGACTCGGTGCCAACAAGGTCGACAGCAGCAGCAGAGGCAACAGAGGGCAAAAGAGGAACGGGGGAGCACCCCTCAAAGAAAGGGGTACGTGGGTCACCACGAGAGGCGCCTACAGCGGTAATACTAGTCTCTGCTGCAAGGAGGCGCTCCTCGAGGAGGTCGACAGTGAGGGTGGTAGGGCAAAGAGAGAGGAAGTGGTTCCTGACAGAGCGGAGAGTGTCAGGGAGTCGAGTGACTAGGTAGTAGAGGGTGATGTACATGGGGGGGGGGTTCTGGGCGCAGAACTCAGTAGGAAGCGCAGCGTGGTAGCGAGTGTCACTAGTGCGGAGGTGCGTAATGAGGTCAGTGACTGTGGCAAAGGCAGCGAGGTCAGGGAACAGGTACGGTAGCATGAGGCGGCTGAGCGCAGCAGTGGCAGGGGAAGAGTAGCGTGCAACTACAGCGTCGTACAGAGTCTTAGCACTCTTGTACTGACTAAAGTGCGCGCGCTCATTAGACGGTAGGTGACTGCGCACAGCAAGGCGGGCAGCAGCATCGCGCGTGAGCCACTGCGAGCGAACGGTACTGTCAGCATCAGCAGCAGGGGCAGTAGAGGCGCCCGACGTAAGGTCAAACAGGGAGAGGCCATCCTTGCTATCGCACTGAAGGAAAAGCTGCAGATCATCTAGCCAGACATCAAAGGCAACCGCTCGACCCTCAGCATCAAAGGTGAGAAGACTAGGACTAGCCATGATAGGAGCAGCAGCAGACTAGCAGCGGCAGCAGTGCAACTGAGCTAGGCAGGACAGTGCGACTCGGCAGGGCGACTCGGCAGCGCAGTGGGGCTCGGCCGCGCGGCTCGGCCCGGCTAGGCTCTTACCAGGGGCGGAGCCGACAGGTTCGGGACTGGGCAGCAACGGGGCCGAGACCGGGTCGGGGCCGGGGCAGGTCCGGGACAGGGTCGGGGCCGAGCAGGGTCCGGGACGGAGCAGCAACGGGGCCGGGACAGGGTCGGGGCCGGGGCAGGTCCGGGACAGAGTCGAGGCCGAGGCCTTTTAGGGGCGGCGGAGGGGCCGCGTAGGGGCCGCGTCAGGGACAGGGCCGGGCCGGGCCGTTTTAGGGGCGGCGTAGGGGCCGCGTCAGGGGCGGCGTAGGGGCCGCGTCAGGGGCGGCTTAGGGGCCGCGTCAGGGGCGGCGTAGGGGCCGCGTCAGGGGCGGCGTAGGGGCCGCGGCAGGGGCGGCGTAGGGGCCGCGTCAGGGGCGGCGTAGGGGCCGCGTAGGGGCGGCGTAGGGGCCGCGTCAGGGGCGGCGCAGGGGCCGCGTCAGGGGCGGCGCAGGGGCCGCGTCAGGGGCGGCGTAGGGGCCGCGTCAGGGGCGGCGTAGGGGCCGCGTAGGGGCGGCGTAGGGGCCGCATCAGGGGCGGCGTAGGGGCCGCGTCAGGGGCGGCTACGTAGGGGCCGGGTAGGGGCCGCGTAGGGGCCGCGTAGGAATCGCGTAGGGGCAGCTAGGGGGCCGCGAAAAAATTTAGGGCAGGGCGCGACGCGCTTCGGGCAGCTAAAAAAATGTTACTTATGGTGGGCCCTTAGGAAGAAACGGTCCCATGTGGGAACCCGCTCTATACCATGTGAAGAATGAAACAGGAATGAATGAACTAGGAAAGTGTGAGATACAAATATGAAAGCTGTACCCCTTAGTGTCTACCCCACTACAGCCTACATAGGCTAAGGCATATATATCTGACATCTTTTGCCGCGAGGGCCTCCCTGCAGGCACATCACAACACAAACATGCAACACGGGGTATCAGCAAGGCCGAGATACGGATAATCAGGATTCCCGCTAGAACAAAAGCGAACGTACCTGTGGGCTATGCAGTGGCTTGAGACGAGATGCGGTATGCGGAGGTGCAGTCGAGCGACAAGACCATTCTTGCTTCCCATCATCACACTCGCGCCATCGGTGCTCATACCAGAGATCTTGGCAAGCTCGATGCCGAGGGCCTGCAGGTGGGACACAAACACGTAGAGTAGAGAGGCAGCGTCGCACTTCTCCACGGTCAGAAGGGCAAGGAACTCGGTGACGACGCGATTCTCCCGGATGAAGGTCGCGAATATGATCATGTGCTTTCCCCGGCACCGGTCCGTGCTCTCGTCACATGTAATTCCGATGTAAGGACTTGTAAGGAGGTGCTGGAGTTGCGTTGTGTGCAACCATGTGGCAATCGCTTGTGTTAGTTGCCCAAAGCCGTACCTGTGGAGCATGTGAGCCAATGTTAGTGCTTACACAAAAGGTAAACAAAAGCAACATCACGAACAATATCTGACAGCGGGTACTCACGTTGTGTAATAGGTTCCGTATCCCTTCGCGGGGAATCCCGGAACCTTCTTCGCCGCGAGATAGCGAACAAGATTCACCCATAACTCAATGGGTGCATCTTGCTTGGTTACGAAGAGCAGAGAGTCGCACAGCGCGATGACGCGTTCCTTCTCGGTGTCGCGAGCGATGTTGTCACCGTTGATCCGTGGTTGCCGGCCAGCTTCAGCAAGAAGCTTTTCCTGGTGCTTGACCGCCTCTTTGTGCTTCGTTGTTGCAGCATGCCTCTTGAAAGCCTGCGTCTGTACGTCCGACGCGCCCCTCCCGCCCTTCCCGCACTTTCCAGCGTAACCTGCATGCTCGGTACAGATAGAGCACTTGAAAGCTGGGAGACCGACAGATTGCCGCAAAAGAATGAGCCACGAAAACCTGTCTAGCCACTCGGTCTTGTACTTATACAGACACTCAGCGTAAATCTCGTCGCGTCCTGACTGCTTAGAAGGACCAGGAACCGATGGCGACTCCTGTGGGCCGGCAATCACGGGCGACGACCGTTGGTCGGCTGGCGACGGCGGGGTAGCTCCGTCGTCAGCGCCCTTTGTAAACCATGGCAGCCTTGACTGCATGTATCGGCTGGATTTCTTGGTCACGAGTTCGGGAGCCAGTTTTTCAGCTGGAGGCGGCGAGCTGTCCTGCTCCGTGACTGGCGCTGTCGGGGATGCACACCAACCCTCCTCATCGATGTGTTCGAACGGGATTTTGTCGGGCGGCTCGGGATCTGGTGGCTTCTCGTTGTCGTTGACTTCCGCTATGCTCGAAAACAATAAATCGAGGCCCGTAACTGCTTCAGAACGGACTACAGGCGGCTGGCGATGCGCCTGACCGCCGTGTTCGCCGTTTGTTTCCGTGCCGTTAAGGTGTTCCACCATGGTAAGCAGCGGGTACAGCCTGACATCTAAGCTAGCAACAATGAGAGGGATTGTTTCCAGAAAAAGCACAGGCCACGGCTGGCTGCCTCTTGGTGGTACACTAGGAAGAAAGGGGGAAACCCAGCTTCGGATGCAAAGCTTGGAGAAGAAGGGGCCCTTGGATGGCAACCACGGTGCATGGGCTGGGTTGTCAACGGGGCAGGAATGTTGGCAGCCCTCCAGCACCACATGTTGGCCACTGGCCACGTTCGGATTGGCCAAGAAAAGATGCTGCAGCAAAACGGCCCAATGATGTGTGGCGCCGCGCCAACAAAGCACCGCTCAATCGTGAATTCGAGGCAAAATTTCACAGGTTCGTCTCGCCCCGCGGTGCCTTCACCACGGGAATCTGAGATTCCCTGTAATTGCAGTCAAATCCACACGACACAGGTAAGAATCGCTTTCAGTGTTAGTTTCGTTTCAACGTTGTGGCATCAGTGTACTTGGAAAAAAAAAACTGAAATTTCAGTGTGGCCTCACAAAAAAGGCTGAAAGATCAGTCCCACAAAAATCTTAACACTGGTTTTTCAGGGTAGGTTGAGAATGGACTGCCAAAATCAGGAATTTCAGGGTTTTTTTCCTGATATCTGAGGCCCTGCTCCTGTGCTTGTTAATTCTCTAGATCTGTCTGCAGCAGCCAATTTCTTTCCAGGTGACACGTGAGAACTCTCTAAATCGTCCTGACTGAATAGCTTGAAAGTGGGGGGAGCAATTGTGAAGAGCCTGAGAAAGGGAGTGGGTTAGTGGTGATAGGGTCGTACAGGAAAGTTAAGAGCAGCAGCTAAGGGGGAGACGCCTTCTAATTCCCTGCTTGGGATAAGATTTTTACGTTTCAGAGCTTGGGAATCGATTACCATGAGGCGTTTCAAAAGGAGAGTATAATATTAGTTTTGCCTGTTTGTGCATAATTTTTCTTGTTTAGTTGTGACTCCAGCCTCGGAGTTATTATTATTATTATTATTATTATTATTATTATTATTATTATTATTATTGTCGACTATGGTTTGGAAAACCGTTTTAGCCATAACTCATGCACACAATGATAAACAGCCCACCAAAATGCAAGCTGAGGCAAGAAACAAGGAAACTGGCACTGAGGAGAAAACTGATTCGAGATGCAACCTACAAACCCACTTTCTGACCCTTTTCGGCCCTCCCATCTTTAGACTCTAGAGCCAACTCCCTCCTTCCGATACTCCCATCATTGAGACTCCCTGCATCAGCACATAGTAGCCATGCACACCCGCACACACACGCACACACCACAAAAGCACTCACACTGAGCCACAAGGAGGCCCACAAACTCCAAATTTAAGGGCTCAGAAATGAAGGGCTCTAATCAACCCTCCCTACGCAGCGGAGGAACATCCCCTTGCTGCTTCGCCGCTGCTCCCTGCATGCCCAGGCCCTGCCGGCCCGCCTTCCCCCCCTTCCCCCCTCCACGCGGGAGAGGTCCGCCTACTTCATTAGAGGCTTATCATTCAACCACTTGGCCCTCCACTTGGCGGACTTGATGCCTCCGCCCGGCTTGCCAGCAGCGGGAGCAGTGGGCAGCTTGGGGGCTGCGCCCGAGTTGCCCTTCCCTGGCTTATTCCCAGCTCCCGACGTGCCGGCAGCGGGAGCCCCAGGCAGGTTGGGGGCTGCGCCCGAGTTGTATTTTGCTCCCTGCAGCTTCGTCGGAATACCCGGCTTGGCAACAGCGGGAGCAGCGGGAGGCTTGAGGACTGCGCCCGAGTTGCGCTTAGGGGCGCTTCCCCTCGTGGGTTTCCTCCCGCCGTGGTGCTTCTTCCCCCCCTTGGGCGCGAAATTGCGAGTGTGGAGCATCTTGTCAACCGAATTGCGCACGTTCCTCCCCGCCTGCCCCAGGGAATCCTTCATGGCGCCGCTGAGATCGTCCGACGGCTGCTTCAAGTCCACCGCTGCATCCGCCATCGTGCGGAGCACACGCGGGTCCTCAAAGTCAACAGAGTCAATCCAATCAATGGAGTCATCGCTATCGGCCCCGAGAAGCGCGCGCGGCTGGGGGGCTGCGCCCGAGTTGCTGTCGGCGCCCGAGGTGCTGACAGCTCCCGCCCCCTTCTTTTGATTCGACTCAAAGGTGCTGACGGGTGCCACCCCCTTCTTCCCAACCGCCGGCACGCCACTCTCAGCGCCCTTGGCTTCGCGGATGCCTTGTCAGCAGTTTCCAGGTCGCCGGTTGTATTCTTGGTCGTTCTGGTAAGATGCTTCTTCGTCGCTGCCCACTTGACGCACCTGCCCCACCTACGCCGCCGCACGCATTGCCTCTTCGTCCCCTGCTTCCCCTTCTTGGGCGCCGCGGCGCTGGACTTGCCATTGGGTGAAGCCGCGGAGTCCCCTGGCGCGCGCGCGTTCGTCCCCGCCTGCCCTTCGAGCGGCGATTTCTTCGCGCTGCCTCTGGCGCCGTCCGACTCGGATGGCTGCTTCAAGTCCGCCGCCACATCCGCAAGAATTCGCGGATCCTCCGAGTTATCGGATTCAACCCAGTCAACGGAGTCAACTGCAGCCTCGCTTTCGGCCTCTAAGAGCGCGCGCGCGTCGTATGATTCCTTGAGACCGGCGGGCTCGTTGATGTCGTAATCCCCATCCGGAGGGAGCGCCGCGAAAGCAGCGAGGAAATTCAGAGACGCCACGAGGACGAGGGCGAGCAGAAACTTGCGAGGGCGAGACGTGCCCATGATGTTGGCTGCTGCTATCAGTTTATATGGGAAGGAAGCTCTGAGGGAGGCTGTACTGATTAGGTTTTAATATGCTGTAACTGGTAGAAGAAACTCTGGTGAATGAGTTGTTTCCAACTCCCTCCGCGTTATGTGCGGCTAAGCGTGAGTGCCGATTGCAGACTTCGCTGTGATATTGCGGCTTGGCATCATATGAGGAGGCTCGCCCCCATGATGCTTCCCGTAGCGTCTGGGTCGATTTGGGCCTCATAGCGTCGGATGCGGCGGTGATTACTTGGGAACTTAGGCCACCCAAGTCAGCTAGCACTCTGATGATGGTGACAGCACCTCGAAATTATGAAACAGAGAATCTGCTGGTTGCGTTCCTCGCGTGGTTGGGTTGTGTGGGAGAAGAGGTTCCCAAAAAAAAAAACGGCTAAGGAATGTATTTTAGCGGCCAGGAGTGGTGGAGAGGTTTTCTTTTGGGATTGATGTATGCTGGGAGGTGGCTCGCTGCGCGATCACCATTCACGAGTTGCGCGGGATGTGCGGCAGAGCAATAATTGCGCACCGCACCGCACACTGGCGATCTGTTGCAAAAATTGCACACTTATGAATGAACTTGCAGAGTGCGCAGAATAACGAATAACGAGTATGGTTGAATACTGAATGAAGATACAATGAGAATGGCACGACTAAATAGGGGAAATGCTAGCTAGGCGGGGGGTTCGGGAATGGATGGCTCGGTGATGTTGCGATTGGGGCGGAGGCCGAGTCGGGAGTGGTTCAGTGCAACGAAATAGGCAAAACAGGTTCGTCGCGTGACCCTCAGGATGTCCTCGCTAAATAGTGCCTCAGTAAGGAATGTAAATCCTTACAGCACTTCAGACACGATTTGAAGATATGTATGTATATATAGTAAAAAAACATTTGGTCTCAAAATATATCTTGTTATTACGATAACAATGTCAAATTATATGTTTAATGTTATCTAGGCTGTAGTGGGTTTAGTCTTAGGGGGTACAGGATTTTGCTCGACACTTCCTTTGTATCCCCCTCCTTGCCCTAATCCACACGCACCTTCATACTATTCTCACATGGTATTAAGAGCTAGGACGTTCCTAGCCTAGGACGAATTTTTTTTAGGGCCCACCGTTAAACCTTCCGTGTTCCTGCCCGAATCGCGTTCTCTGCCTTTTTCTGCCCGAAATGCGCCCTTAGGTGCATCGATTTTCGCTGTCCCACGGCCCTGCCCTGTCCTGTCGCGCGTAGCCCGCGAGCAGCCCGTACAGCCCCCGTCTGGCCTTCGCGCCGCCCGTACAGCCCGCGCCACGCCCGCGCGCGGCCCGTATAGCCTACGTTAGGCCCACGCGCGGCCCGTACAGTCAGCGCTAGGCGTTAGCGCAGCCCGTACAGGCCACGTCAGGCCCGAGAGCGGCCCGTACAGTCAGCGCTAGGCGTTAGCGCAGCCCGTACAGGCCACGTCAGACCCGAGAGCGGCCCGTACAGTCAGCGCTAGGCGTTAGCGCAGCCCGTACAGGCCACGTCAGGCCCGAGAGCGGCCCGTACAGTCCGCGCTAGGCATTTGCGCAGCCCGTACAGGCCAAGTCAGGCCCGTGCGCGGCCAGTACAGCCCAAGCCAGGCCTGCACGCTGCACTGCGCCTGTGCTGCTGCTCTACCGCTGCTTCTACTTGCTGCCGCTGCTGCTACTTGCTGCAGCCGCCCCTGGCCCCTGCAGTAGCCGCCCCTGGCCCCTGGAGCAGCCGCCCCTGCAGCAGCAGCCCCTGGCCTCTGGAGCACCTGCCCCTGCAGCAGCCGCCCCTCGCCACTGCAGCAGCCGCCCCTTGCCCCTGGAGCAGCTGCCCCTGGAGCAGCCGCCTCTGGTCCCTGGAGCAGCCGCCCCTGCAGCAGCAGCCCCTGGCCTCTGGAGCACCTGCCCCTGCAGCAGCCGCCCCTGGCCCCTGGAGCAGCCGCCCCTGCAGCAGCCGCCCCTGCAGCAGCAGCCCCTGGCCTCTGGAGCACCTGCCCCTGCAGCAGCCGCCCCTCGCCCCTGGAGCAGCCGCCACTACAGCAGCCGCCCCTTGCCCCTGGAGCAGCCGCCCCTGGAGCAGCCGCCTCTGGCCCCTGGAGCAGCCGCCCCTGCAGCAGCCGCCCTTCGCCCCTGGCGCAGCCGCCACTGCAGCAGCCGCCCCTTGCCCCTGGAGCAGCCGCCCCTGCAGCGGCAGCCCCTGGCCTCTGGGGCACCTGCCCCTGCAGTAGCCGCCCCTCGCCCCTGGAGCAGCCGCCACTGCAGCAGCCGCCCCTTGCCCCTGGAGCAGCCGCCCCTGGAGCAGCCGCCCCTGGCCCCTGGAGCAGCCGCCCCTGCAGCAGCCGCCCCTGGCCCCCGGAGCAGCAGCCACTGCTACAGCCGCGCTCTTGTGCGCTCTGCTCTACCCGCGCCCTCGTGCGCTCTACTCTACTGCTGCTACAGCTAGTGCTAACCTGCTGCTGCTGCTCGAGTAGCAGCAGTTGCAGCAGCTACCGTCGCGGCCCTGCCCCACCCTGCAGCAGCTGCCGTCGCGTTCCTGTCCCCGCCCTGCAGCAGCTGCCGTCGCGGCCCGGCCCCGCCCTGCAGCAACTGCCGCGGAGCCCCTAGCCGCGGTTGAGGCCCTGCCCTGCAGCTGTAGCGGCCCCGCCGTCGCCGCCGTCCTGCGCCTGCCCTTCCCACCACTGGTGAGCACTTCCCTGCCCGCGCTGCTACTGCTGCTACTGCTGTTACTGCTGCTTCTGCTGCTCCTGGTGTGGCCAGATGCAGCTCCAGGGCCGTCCGCGTGCGATCCTCACGCCCCAGCAGCTTCGTGAGTGGTACGCTAGTTGGGGATGTCGGGGTGGCCGTAGTGGGAGTCGTCCTGGAGTGGGTAGTTCGGGAGCGTCTGGTAGTGGCCAGGTGCAGCTGCAGCGTCGTCCCCGCGAGGCTCTTTCGTCCCAGCAGCTTCGTGAGTGGTACGCTCAGAGTAGAGGGTCACTGAGTACTGCTTGCTGCCCGTACGTCATTCGCACGGGTGTCCGGACTGGTCAGCCTTGCGGGACACCTGGTCACACAGAGTCCCACTGCTTCGCCCGTCTGAGCGACGCTTGGCGTACGGAGTTTGGCGACACCGCTGAGCTCCCCTCCTGGCTGGAGCTACTTAGGCAGAGGGTAGATATCTTTGCTCTCGACTATGATGCTATCCTCACTGCCATGTATGCATTGTCTACTAGTGCTGAGGGTGCCTGTCACCTGTGTCTGCCGTCTGCTGCTCTAGGTGCTGGTGAGGCTGCTACTCTAGGTGCTGGTGAGTCTGCTCTCTCTGGTACTGCACCTACTGAGTCCTTGCACACTTTCACACTTGACTCTGGTGCTTCGCGCTCCTTCTTTCGCGACAGCACCACACTCACGCCGCTCAGTCGGCCTGTTGCGGTCTCCCTTGCCGACCCCTCAGGGGGGCCAGTCCTTGCACACTCCTCCACGGTTCTACCGTGTCCTGCGGCCCCGTCGGGCTTGCTGTCGGGACTCCACCTCCCCTCGTTCTCTACGAACTTGGTGAGTGGAGCTGACCTCCAGGACGCGTGGGTTGACCAGTTCACCCCTGGAGGTCAGCGTGTGACCCACTGCACTTGCTCTCGGACGGGCCGCCACCTGGCCACGTTCACCCGTCGGCCAGGGTCGAGTCTGTACACACTGACTACTGCGCCTCCTCCGGTCCCTGCGTCTGGTCAGGTAGCTGCTTCTAGTCAGGTCTTTGCTGCCGCGTCCTGGTCTAGTCCTGCGTCTGCCCCCTGCTCGTGTCGGCCTCTGGCGCACGAGACTCTCCTTTTGCACCACCGCCTTGGTCATCCCTCCCTGCCTCGTCTTCGAGGTATGGCCTCCCGTGCTCTTGTCTCTGGACTCCCCAGGTCCCTCCCTCCTCTTCCTCCGGGGCCTGCCCCCACCTGTGTTCCTTGTGTCGAGGGCCGGCAGCGCGCCGCTCCTCACTCCTCCTCGTTCCCTCCGACTGAGGCCCCTCTGCAGACTCTTCACATGGACGTGTGGGGCCCAGCCCGCGTCCGTGGACAGGGTCACGAGCGCTACTTCTTGTTGGTCGTTGACGACTACTCGCGTTACACCACAGTCTTCCCCTTGCGCAACAAGGGTGAGGTCCCTGGGGTGTTGATAGACTGGATCCGCTGTGCTCGTCGCCAGCTCAGTGAGAATTTCGGCTCGGACCTTCCTGTTCTGCGTCTGCACTCAGACAGAGGCGGGGAGTTTTCCTCTGACCTCTTGAGAGCCTTCTGTCGTTCGGAGGGCATCCGCCAGACGTTCACGCTTCCGGCCTCCCCGCAGCAAAATGGGATTGCTGAGCGCCGCATTGGCATGGTCATGGACGTCGCTCGTACGTCCATGATCCATGCGGCTGCTCCCCATTTTCTGTGGCCGTTCGCGGTTCATTACGCTGCGCATCAGGTCAACCTTCAGCCTCGTGTCTCCTTGCCGGAGACCACACCTACTCTGCGGTGGACGGGGAAGGTTGGCGATGCGTCCGCGTTCCGTGTCTGGGGATCTCGAGCTTTTGTCCGCGATACTTCAGCGGACAAGCTGTCCTTCCGTGCCGTTCCCTGTGTCTTCCTTGGCTTCCCTCCTGACGCACCGGGTGGCAGTTCTACCACCCCACCTCGCGTCGTGTTCTGTCCTCTCAGGACATCACGTTTGACGAGTCGGTGTCGTACTACCGTCTCTTTCCCTACCGCACTGCCTCTCCACCCCCCCCGCCGCTCTTCCTAGCACCAGGTACTCCCCCGGTAGACCCCCTCCCCCCCCAGGGTCCTGCCCCCTCAGGTGTGTCCCAGGTGAACCCTGCTGAGCCGGTCGAGGTAGCTGTCGACTCAGGTGCTGCGTCTTGGGGTGCTGAGCCTGCGGGTGCGGGGACTGGGGGTGCTGGGTTTGGGGGTGCTGAGTCTGGGCGTGCTGAGCCTGGGGGTGCTGAGCCTGGGCGTGTGGAGCCTGAGGGTACTGTGTCTGGAG